TTTACTATTTATAAATGTGCAATTAAAAAATGGATACTGCACACATATTTATTCATTTTATTGTACGATATATGTAACACACAGTTAAAAGATGTGAGTTCCTACTATTCTACTACAACAGCAACATAACAGCTAAGCAATACAAAACCAATGATCAGAAATAATTTTAAAATAAACTATGCATGTACATAAAACACCAGTGATTTATTTAGATAGATCAGGAAATATGTTCAGTAGAGGACCTACACAAGGATAAATCATGGCTAGACCACCACCCAGAAAATAAAATAGTGGAAAAGTTACATATAAAGACTGATATTGCACATGTTAAACACAATAATTACAGTAATTTAAGTGTGCAATTTACTACTTATAAATGTGCAATCAAGAAATGGATACTGCACACATATTTATTCATTTTATTGTACAATATACGCAACACACAGTTAAAAGATGTGAGTTCCTACTATTCTACTACAACAGCAACAAGACAGCCAAGCAATACAAAACCAATGATCAGGAATAATTTTGAAATAAACTGTGCATGTACATAAAACACCAGTGATTTATTTAGATAGATCTAGAAATATGTTCAGTAGAGGACCTGCACAAGGATAAATCATGGCTAGACCACCACCCAAAAGCAAGAAATCTGACTGTTGAAAAGCACAAGCATTGGTAAATGTAAAAAAATATCCTTACACATATATGATGACAGTCTATATTGCTAAGCATTTTGTTAAGGATAAAAACCAATAATAGATCAGTAAGCAGCACATTCAAATAGAGAGTAGCCCTTTTCGATTTTTACAATATGTTATGGTATAGTCATCTCTTCAACTATAGATCAAATAAACCATTGAACAAGCACACCAAGCAAAAACCAGTTCTAGCAATCAGATCCAATAACTGAGCTAACCCAAGCAAAAAAAGCAAGCACCATTGTTGACCTAAAAACCATTGCACACAAATAACAATAACAAATTGCCCTAATGCTCAGGCTGCTATACCATGGCGCGCAGCATGGGACGTAGCTATCTCGCTCAACCCAACACGACAAACATAAACACCATCAATCTCTAACCCTATGACCTCCTCACACTAGAAGATTTTATCAATCAAGCAAATCAACACCACATCATCTAGCAACATAGGCAAAGCAGAACAACACAAACTACACTACAGTTTGCTTGGTAAAATAAAGCATCCAAAATTTGGCTTGGCTACATTAAGCACTTAAGCAGCAAGCAGCGTAAATGTCTCCCCACCATTCTCTGTGGCCAAATGCCCTCAACTGCAAGCGTTGGTGCAGTACGGTAGAGAAGGGGGTTGCCCAGTCATTCTCACCACCATTTGGAATTTTAGGGAAGTGATGATATCAGTTGAGTCAGAAAACATTAATACAGGACACAAGCAACATATATAAAGATTTAAAAAAACAATTTCTGCTTCATGGCGTGCTTTGATAGCCGACATAGCAAAGTGAACAATGACAATTATCTCATACTCTACCGCAGCGGTTCAAGCAGGATACAAACAACAAACAATCAAGTAAATACAATTTCTGCTCCTAGACATCGAGTGCTCCACTCAGCCACTGACACACCTCTCTATCTCCACCAATCATCTAGCCAATACCACTAAAAATCAGCACAACTCTCCACCACTCGGTCTGTTCCTTTGCTTCCCAGTTCTACTGGTGCCATGACCTAATCGCCACTACTAACCTTGTGCCCGCTCGCAGACGGGAAGATACCGGCACTTCGGAGGCCAAGGCTCACCCGAATGCCGGCAAGCATGTGCTCTAGCAGCAGCACATGTCCAAGCACGACCAGATTTTTGCTTAAAAAAGCACGAGCAGATTTCTTCACCACAAAAATAGAAGGAATGCACAAAAATAGAACAGAAATCATCATCTCCATGGCTATATAACAAAAACCATTAAATTATAAAAGTATGAAAACTAGAATAAAACTATTTCTAAAATTTAATCCATCTATTAGTGCTAGGTTTGAAGTTGTTTGTATCTTAATTGTAGTTGTTCCTAGTGCTCGATCTCTCGCAGAGTAGTCCATAGCAAAAAAAGGTTTGGCTACTAAAGAATCTTCAAAAGATGACAATCACATTTTTAGATTCCATGAAAATATTCTGCACTCAAATTTAAAAATTTGGGCACACAAATTAAGAAGCACTGATAATTGTTTAGAACAAATCTTGCAATGATCATGCCATGACAATATCATTGATCTGAGCGTCAAGACAAGAGTCTAAAATATAAAGAAGCAATCACAATTCCATGATAGTTTGTTTGATATTGCAACACAGGGAATGACAGAAATAACAATGGTTGTTTGCAATCAGCAATTGAAGTAGTATGCAGGTTCAGAGAAGCAGTATGTGTGATTTCAACAACTACTCAGTAGTCAGTACTCACTCTGAATATTGCAATCAACAATTATCTCACTTTGAATATTGCAACTAGCATCTAACAAACTCTGAATAATGGAATCAACAGCTAAGCAACTGCAGTAGATGAAGAAAGTAACTCCAGGTAAGCAAGCAATTGTGGCAAAAGTTAATGGCAAAAACGAGTAAGAGATCTGCCTTTTCAAACTGAGAGCAAACGTTGAGCCAAAAAAACTGTTGTTGACAGTCAAATTGCATATACTCAGAGACTCAGAGATGAAGAAGCAACCACAAACAAGCAAGCAAACTGTAGCAAAAGCCTTGCTCTATTAATGGTCGACCAAGAGATCTCTTGCTCAATTAGGCATGATGGCTACTGCAGCTTAAGCAAATTGGAATTTAGAGGCAACCAAACCATGGTGGCACTGACACACCTGTGCCTCCTCCGCACACATAAACACAAACAAATAAAAAAGCAAACAGCAACACTCTTGCTTCAACAAATAAGCATGTTCCGGGCACAACTACAAGCTCTTCAGTACTCTGAAAAACTACTCAGCCTACAAGACTGCACTCCCCAACACTTCTAGTCTCTCCCCTCACCAAGACTTAGTAGCTAGCCTTAGTAATGCACCCCAGAGTTGTCTTGTTTTCTTTGACCCAAACATACAGCAAGGGAGACCCCACTGTAAGAGTTTTTTATTATTTTTCAGAAAAGGAAAAAACAGTTTGATTAGGCCTAGAAATTTCAGAATAATTTGTTCAGAATATTTAATCATGCAACTCAGATCATTTTTTGATTAGGCAACTCACATTATTCTATTTCAAATTATTCTATTTCAGAATATTTAATTTCAGATAATCAGTGAGTTACATGATGCCAAAAATGATCACCAGATTTACAGAACCAAGAATGTTGGACAAAAATTCATTAACAAGGAGGATTCCAGAACAACATTTATAGTAACACGTTGGTACATGATCAAACCTTGCAAGATAGAATGAACTGTGGCCAGGTGCTCTAACTTGAATCGCTAGCTCTAACTAAAAAACATTAGCCATTCCATATAGTAACATGTTGAGAGCAAACCTACAAGCACTAACTGTAGCTGAAAAAAAGAATTGTGGTTGTGATTCAATACAGTAACACAAAAGGCATTTTCAGCAACAACAGAACTAATCCGCCAAATTTCATGAACATGATTGCTCTAGCCGTCTAGTAGCAGCTAAACAAGATATACAGAATACGAACCCATGCGCAAACCATTAGATGAAGACAGATTCTGACTGCAAATCGGGTACTAAACAAGCGGAACCACTCCAAGTGCACTAACCGCAGCAACATTGATGCCCACATCGGCGCGACACACAGACGGACAGCGAGAGAATCGTAGCTTACCCGCTTTGGTTCGCCGTTTTTCTCACTGATGGTGGCGGAGATGATATGGCCCGTAACAGCGTCTACCCCTTCCCACTCCTTACTCTACAACAAACACGGATAGAATAAAAAACAGAGCACCATTAGCAACAACGTTCGCAGAGGGAGCAGACCGGGTGGCGCCCAGCCGCGACTGCCACAGCAGATTGGTGCCCATCCCCAGATCTAGGCCACCAGCTGACCTTATCGCTGCCGGCGGTGTGGACCGCCACCAAGGCATCGGGAGGGGGGCGTGTCCAGCTCCATGGGCTCCGATTCATACAAGCAACCGAAACCGAAAAACTAGAACAAAATCACACTAAAGTCACTAATGGTTCTCGAGCTCTGGGAATGGGGACAAATTAAAGCACCACACCTGAAATCCTGGAGGGGTGGGGGCATCTGCAGAGTGGGGGGCACCTGGGCCGGTGGCCGCCTTGTCGGTTCATTGGGCGGCGAGCAGGGCTGCGGCCAGCGGGGCCGCAGGGGCCGGCAGGCCGGTACGCTGGACGCGGGAGCGCCGACTAGCCGCACAGGAAGAGGACTGCGGAGGGCCGACCAGCTGAGGGCAGGACCGCACGAGGGCGCGGAGGCAGAAAGGTCGCCGTAGGCCGTCGGCCGTCGCGACTCGCGCGGACTCTAGTCGCGCGGTCGCGGTCTCCCCGTCTCCGTCTCCCTCCAGTCCCCGCGTCGAGTGGTGTAGGGTGTTAGCGGGTGCGGCCCCGGATCCAATAAGAAACATCGGACCCAACAACAGCCAAACCAGACGCACGCATCTTGAAGCCAATCCAACAGACATAAAATTCGTGTGCCAACAAACAACAAAACACATGTGTATCGTATAGCGTTCCGAAAAAAATCACGGGGTGCAGGAACGACCGCGAAGTCGTCGGTGTCGGACGACCCGATCGAGTGAACGTAGCTTCGCCACTGATCTGGCCTCAGCTTTCGATTCGTTTGACTTTTACTAGTTGGTGTGGCGGCTTTGCTTCCGCAAAACAAGCGACACGTCGTCGCTCCTCTTCTTCCACGCTTATAAAAAAACGGAGAACCAGTTGAAGCCATACTTAGCTTGTTCTTGCGAGCAGGATATCGATCAGGATCGGAGAGCTTAGCAAGGTTATTAGCAAGCAAGCCTTGCTCTAGGTGTTGGGACACCGATCGATCGAAATACTCTATGGCTTTGCAAGACCTTGTGGACTGGAGGGGACGCCCGGTTAACCAAAAAAAGCAAGGTGGAGTCAGAGCCAGCGTCTTCATACACTGTAAGTATATAATATAACAACATACATGCTCCTACTTAATTTAGTAAATGGTGAGAGGTCCATTTTTCAAACTAAAATCATTGTGTTTATACAGTCCTCATTGTGATGTCGAATATGGCCAACATACCCATGATTATGAACCTAGTGACCTACTTGCATGGGACGATGCACATGGACGTGAAGGACGCCTCCACCACGTCCACAAACTTCTTCGGCGCCATCTGTTTCTTCTCCTTCTTGGGTGCCTTCATCTCCGACTCCTACATCAAGCGCTTCTACACCATCCTCATCTTTGCCCCAATCGAGATCTTGGTAAGTGGAGTTACTACACAGTCGTACCATATGGAACACAGTAGTACTGCGTCTACTTTAAACTTTTCGCAAATATTCACTTCATTAACATACATGAGGTTTAACTTTGGACAAAGTTTTTCGTCAAAACTTTTGAAACTTCAACAAATTAAATATCATGTTGCTATAGATATATTGACTGAATTGAAAACATATAAATGAAGTGCCATGCTCCTTGCTTGCCATGAGCAGGGGTACATGCTCCTAGCATACCAAGCACGCTTCCCGTCGCTTCACTCGCCGCCGTGCGACATGATCAACAACCCCAGCGATTGCACTCCGGTGAGCGGCCGCAACCTGAGCCTGCTCACGCTGGGCCTATACCTGATCCCCGTCGGCGAGAGCTCAGTGCGCACGTGCGCGGCGGCGCTGGGCGGCGACCAGTTCGACGAGGACAGCCCGGCGGAGCTTCCCGGCAAGATCAGCTTCTTCAACTGGTTCGAGATCAGCATATCGCTGGGAGCGATGGTTGGGGTCGTCTTCTTGGTGTGGGTGCAGGACAACGCCGGATGGGACCTTGGCTTCGCGCTCGCTGCTCTCATGGTGCTCGTCGGCACGCTCGGCGTCGCCGTCGGCCTGCCGTTGTACCGGCACCAGAAGCCCGCGGGGAGCCCCATCACGAGAATCCTTCAGGTACGTAAGCTCGCCGTCACGCAGTGTGGAAGAACTTGATGAGATTTTGTCGTGGCCTACTGCAGGTTTTCGTGGCGGCGTTTAGGAAGAGGAAGCTACGGGTGCCTGAGAATCTGATGGAGATGCATAGTACGGTCACTGACGGCACTGGCACGAGCGTTGAATCTATGGATAGAACTGCTGGCTTTATGTAAGGAGGGCTTTCTTGTCAGATTCTTTCTATCTCAACGTCTTGCAAGCAACAAAATTATATAAAGATAGAATCAAAGTGACAAGAGTTCAGTAAATTTGGGGCACATCCTATTGCTTGTCACTATCAAAAAAAAATTCTCCCCCTTTCTTGGACACACCGTCTACAACGTGGTGGCCTCGGGCCCCACAGTGTAGAAATTGTTGTTTTTACGACGGTACTTGTACTGTCTAGGCAACCTACATTTGTGGATGAATAATACTCTTTTGGACTTTTCAACCAAAAAAAACATGGTAGTAATATGAAAATCTAATAATGGTACTATATATAATAGTACATTTGGTGCTTTATTGTCCACTTGTGTTGTGTTTATGCATGAACCATTTTCTCGCTTTTTGGCCCCTTTTTATGTTTGCGTCCAAGGTTCCTTGACAAGGCGGCGGTGGACGACGGCAACACGCGGGCGTGGTCGCTGTGCACGGTGGCACAGGTGGAGGAGGCCAAGACCCTCCTCCGCATGATTCCCATCTTCCTCAGCTCCATCCTCGCCTACATCCCGTTCTCGCTGCTCCTCTCGCTCACCGTGGAGCAGGCAGGGACCATGGACACCAGGCTCGGCGGCATCACCGTCCCCCCGGCGAGCCTCACCGTCATCCCCGTCGCGGTCCAGATCCTCATCTTGCTGGTCTACGACCGCGCCGTCATGCCGTGGCTGCGGCGAGCCACGGGGTACGCCGGCGGCCTGACGCACCTGCAGCGCGCGGGGGTCGGGTTCGCCTCCAGCGTCCTGGCCATCGCCACGGCCGCCGCGGTCGAGGGCCGCCGCCGCAGGAGGAGCGGCCCGCCCATGTCGGCGTTCTGTCTGGCGCCGCAGCTCGTCCTCCTCTGCGTCTTGGACGTCACCTCCTTCGTCGGCCTGCTCGAGTTCTTCTACAGCGAGGTGTCCGCGGGCATGAAGTCCATCGGCGGCTCCCTCGTCTTCTGCATCCTCGGCGTCGCGTCGTGGCTGGGGAGCTTACTTATCCAGGTGGTCAACGACGTCACCGCTCGCCGTGGTGGTGGCAGCAGCGGGCGCGGCCATGGGTGGCTCGGCGGCGCCAACCTCAACGCCAGCCGCCTCGATCTCTTCTACTGGCTCCTTGCAGTGCTGGGGCTCGTCTCTTTCGGTCTCTACGTGCTCTGCGCGTGGAGCTACACCTATAGGCATGATCCCAGGATGCAAGCCACCACAACGGATGGTTCTGATGTAGCCGATCAACACACCTGCTGATCAGTATCGAGTTGAATCACAGGAAGTACAATAGTATATCGACAGACACGTATGGACCACACTTAAATCTTACAGTAACCCGAAGCCCCGAACACAAGGGTTGTTTCGATATTTCCAAGCATGAAGGCATGATGAAGCCAATCACTAGTTTGTATTATAACCGCCGTGCACCTTGACTTGCTGATTTTGCAAAGGAGATAAGATATCCTCTCTCTCTGTTCTGAAATACTCTCTCTGTCCAGAAAAGAACGACATTATGGCATACGTATCGGTCAAACTTTCTTAAATTTGAATGCATTGGTAGAAAATACTAGCAACATTTGTATCTCTAAATAAGTTTATTATAAAAATATATTCAACAATATACTAATTATGTACTATAAATATTAATTTTTTTATTAAATATGATATTTAGAGCTTGGGGCTTTCCCCAACCTATCCCGGCGCGTGGTCCTGGCCCCAGCCCAGACCTGGCCACGTTGTTCAACCCAACCAGATAAGTAAAGCACCGACACCTATTTCAAATTTATTTGAATCTCGTTTTTTTTTCTCCTCTCAGTTCTCACAGCACGAGAGCAGCGGATTCAGATCGGCTGACTTCACTGGAAACGGCCTGTTTGTGCTCGTTTTTTTTTCCTTTTGACGTAGAGATGCTTTTTGGCGCGGCCCCTGACTCCTTTGGCGCGAGGCTGCTCATGTTTTTGGCGCGAACCGCGAGGGGAAGGCACAAGGCGATCGTCTTCGTCGTCCTGCGTGCTCAAGTGTCGGCCGGCCATCGTCTCGTTGTTCTGCATCCTCACGTGCGTGCTTAGGTGCCCAGGTGCTCAGGTTCTAGGTTACTCTGATTTGGTTCCTTTTTGTCCTCCCTAGTGACTCATTCTATTGTTTAGGGTTTGATTCAATGGAAAATCTACATGATTGAGATGGAAAATCTGCATCAAAACTAAATCTGGATATTTAAGATGGAAGAGAAAAGGTGTGTTACACCATGGCTTTTCATTTTTGTCCATGAGATCCTATAGTTGTTCACATTTTTACTTAGCAGCACACATAACATTTTCTAATCATTTATTTGTAGAGAGTGTTTCATTCCTAGATTGTTACCTCAAGTTGGCATGGAATTCAGTAATATAAATGAGACCTGGATGTTTTGGGTTAGTTATGGAGGTCAAAAGGGCTTTGAGGTTAGAAAAAGATACACAAACAAAAGAAGTTCAGATGGAATGGTTAGATCCTGCAGATATGTTTGTGCAAATGAGGGTCATAGAGTGGAAGATAAAAGAGGTCGTCTAATAAAGTGTCCAAGAGCTGAAACTAGAACCGATTGTCAAGTTCGCATGGGTCTTGTACTAGACCGAGAGAAGGAAAATTATAAAGTGGCTGATCTGATTTTGGAACACAATCACGTCCTTCAGTTGCCACAAACCTCACACTTGATGGTGTCTCAAAGGAAGATTTCAGATTTACAGGGTTTTGAGATTGAGACAGCAGATGATGCGGGAATTTGGCCCAAATTGGCACATGAGTTGGCTTCTATCCAAGTTGGTGGCTTGCTTAATCTCAGTTACACACTCCGTGATCACAAGAACTATTTATGAGGCAAGCGGCAACGAGAGATGGCATATGGTCAAGCAGGAAGCATGCTTATGTACTTTCAGGAGAAAATTGCTGAGAACCCATCATTCCAATATGCATTGCAAATGGACCAGGAAGAACAAATAGCAAATATTTTCTGGGTTGATGCTAAAATGCTCACTGACTATGCATATTTTGGTGATGTTGTTAGTTTTGACACTACTTTTGGAACAAACAAAGAGAATAGGCCTTTTGGTGTATTTGTTGGGTTCAATCATTTTAGGGAAACAGTGGTTTTTGGTGCTACTCTAATGTATGATGAGACATTTGAGTCATTCAAGTGGTTATTTCAGACCTTCCTGAAAGCACATAATAGAAGAATGATAAGGGTTCAATGGTATGTATCTGCACCAAAAACATTATTTGTGTTTAGTTGTAAAAATATTCAATTGTGTAACTTTTATTCTCTTTTATTGAAAGGCACAAGAATCTGCACCTAAATTGGCACAAGAAACTACAGCAGTACAGGATATGCCTCCTAGCACTTCATGTCCCAATGAAGGGATGACCGAATCATACTTGACTATTAATGCTTTCTCTGAACTATTGATGGTAATATTTCTAAGTGATGATTTTTTATGTCCAAAAGAATGTAAAGAGTTTAATACTTTGTTCTTTTATTCTGCAGAGAGAAAGCACCGGTGATCTTAATGCTGATTTCTAGGGGTGTTTTTGGAGCTTTTGGATTGGTGGTGATGCTTTGCAGATTCATGACCTTTTAGACAATGTGGGAATTGTATAACTTTTGGTTTCATGGGTGAATTATAAAGTTCAGTCATGATACATTTTTTGCAGCTTCATATGCACTTGATACTAGAAGCAGTAGTACAAGGACATCTTTATGCAGACTGTGAACTTTCAAAAATCAGCAGTGCCTTTTCTATATTCCAACATCATCATAACATATTTCTGTTACATTCTTATTGCCCTGACTTGTGCTGGCCTGAATGGCATATATATGGTACAAATGTTCTGGGAACAATTCTTGGAAAAATTCTGTTATATTTTAGATAGCCTATATGCTTTAACATAATTCTGCAAAATATCAATTCTCCCGGTACAAGTGGAATTCGGTCAGTAGCAAAAGTATATGTTGGTAGAAATATATAATAATTCACCCTTTTTAATCTTTATAATTGGCTCCGTGAGCCAAAACGGACCAGCTCTGCTTGGTGAGCCAAAACGGACCAGTACCAGCCCCAAACCTCTCTGCCTTGCCCTCCCCCGTTGCAGCTCTGCGCGGTGGGCTTCCATGGGCTGGACAAGCAGCGTGGCCTGCTAGATGAAAAGCGTGGAGAGTCGATGCAAACGGACGGTTCGATTTTTGCGACTGCAGCCATACATCGATGGGGTTGAAGTCAGCCGATCTGAATCCAGAGCAGCGAGATCCAAACGTGCTCGCCCACCTCTCCGCGGCGGCGCCTCCCAGTCGGCGGCGTCCCTCCTCCGGCGAAGCTTCACGGCAGGAGGCTCCGCGCGCGCGGCCCGTGTCACAGCAGGACGCTCGGCGCGCTCGTCGCGCTTCATAGGAGGAGGTTCGGCGTGGGGCAGACGGAAGCAGCCCGATGCAGCTCCGGCACCCCACTGCCCCGTCCCCACCACGGCCCGCGGCGGCGCCCCCTCCCCACCACTGTTCCGGTCGAGTGGGCCTCGCGTGGGCGCTATCTGCTGCAGAGCCTCGCGTGGGCGCTAGGCCGGTCGCAGCTGCGGCTCCTGGCGCGACAAGGGGAGGGCCGGGACGGACTCGCCGGCCGTGGGCGGCTGGCAGCGCGCGCGCCCGGCCGCGCGTGGACCAACGGGGAGGCACTGGAGAGGAGGCTCTACGAGCAGCAGCAGCTTGACATCGACGCTGGCCCTGCTCGCATCCGCGCCGTGGCCTCCCTTCTCCGGCATCGCAAAGCGAGGCTCGGAACACGGCGGCCCTGCGCGCAGCCCTGACGCCGCCCCGACGCGTCCGTTGGCGGCGACGGCGAGGCCCCCTGCATGCGGTGGCGAGGCCCCCCAGCCGGCTTGCGAGCGCGGTGCTCGGCCAGCCGCGTGCCCCCCGGCGTCGGCGCGGCCAGATGCGCGGGCACGGCGGGGCTTGGCTGCGGCGCGGCCCGATCGATCCGGCCGCGACGACCCTCCCCTCCCCCACCGGATTCTGTCGCGACGACGCCTCACCGATGGTAGCGGCACGCCCTCAGATTTGGTCGCGAATGGGTCTCGTCTGACGACGCCGGCAGGCACGGTGAGCATCTGGAGCCCCCCACGAGCACTGCAGCTCGCAATTGATGTATTTTCTTTTCTCTTGTTTGATGCACACAAATCCGTCAATCTGCTCCTAAAGATGCGTCCAAAATTTTGAATTGCAGCTCACAATCGATGCTTCCTTCCTTTCCGTAGTATCACATTAGTCTATACATATTCTATTTTCTAATCAACAGATTCCTTTTATGTTTTTCTCCATGTTTTTATGCTCACTGCATCCTGCGTGTCAGCACTGATTGGCGAGATCAATTCATGGCCGGCCGCACCACACTCAGCATCAGGTGAAACGTCGATTAATCTGCATAAAAAATTTTGGCCCAATTTTGAACTTTTTTGCGAGCTCCAGTAGTCCAGTTTGTTTGTTGATAAATATGCATAATAAATTGTTCCTGGTTTTTATGCAATGGGTAGCCATGATGTATTTTTATGACAATTGTTTTTCGATGATGTTTTTATCAGATTTTTGGTTGCAATCTTGGATGAATAGGTGGTTTGCAGGAAGTGAAGAGCTGCCAACGCAGGCAAGCAGGATTTCTATGTGCTTGATTTTGATTTTGTTTTTTATGCATTTCCTTGATATTATACGTGCAATGAATAGGTTTCTGTGCAATTGATTTTTTATTTCTATGCGTTCTTGAGCCAACCGTGTAAGCAAGTAAGCAATTGGGTTTTGCTTCAAAGACAATGGTTTGTATGTAGGCGAGCGGTGGCGGTCCAATGCATGACGCAGTCCACGGCGGCAGCGCGTGGTGCGAATCGGCGGTGGGGGCTGGTGCCGTGGACAACGGCAATGGTGTAGCACGGTCAAGGACGTCTTCCATAGGTCTGCTTCCGATTTTTTATGCTTCTTGAGCCACAGTTTCTATGCCATGGTTTTTTATGTTTTGATTCGATTTAGTTGCAGCCTTGCAGGAAGATGGAGTTGCAGCAAACGAAGAGTTAGCAATGCAAGCAACAAACACTTTTGATGCCGTTTTGTGCTTGTCGACATGTTTACTGCTGAGAGATGATTTTTATGTGATTGCTTAACACTTTCTGTAACACCCTAAAATTTTACTCTTTTGAAATAGAGCTAAAATGATTTATTTATGAATTTTGGTACTCATGAAATATAG